GATGGTCACACAGATATTTTGTAATTTTAATTCCTATGAACTAAATTTTCAGGTGATCTGCAGATTATTTTTGAATACTTAATACTCGGGGCATGTTTTTGTCATTTTTTCTAACATTCTATTTAATTGTATCTCATTTGAATGAAATCAATACTCATAAGCATATTATGAATTTCACATGATTTTGTAGTGGTTCAGTATTGATAGTATTAGAGTACACACCATGACTGGGACCAAAATAATAATATATGGACAAAAAGGGGTCATTTAGTCCTTTAAGGCTTGTGTGTTTTCATCCTATTATGTTAAGATATAGCACCTTTCAAACTATTGTAAACTACCAGGTTCTACAGCTGCTAATGATAACTCAATCAATAAGCCAATCACCCTGTTGATAAATAAAATTGTCTTAAGTGATGTCTAACCTGTGTTTTCCAAATTCTAATTTGTATCCTCTCATCCTATTGTTTTCAGATATAGCCCAAAAAAATCAAAAGCTTTTATCTCATTACAGTATACAGGCATATTAAGTGTTTTCTATCCCCCTTATTTAATTCTAAAAATCCCATATTTAAAGAAACTTTTCATGTATAATCATACTTAGTGAAAGGTTTTGCTGTATTTTACCATTGTCAAGTCTCTCTCATTTTTCACAAATCTGTAAAAATTGGAGGACACAGATTAACTCTAACTAACATTTTCTCCTGTGGATTCTACTCAATTAAGAAACTTGTATAATCCTGATAAACTACATTAAATAACCTTTTACCCTACTTTTGTCAAGAGCAAAGATAAAATCTCCAGATGATAACCTTTCCATTTCCTCATTCTACTTTGTAAGCTATAGCCCTCCTCAGAACCCTCACCACTAATCACTATTCTATTTTACTCTTAAAATAAGTAAGATAAAGAAACCAAAATTGTACAAAGTAATCTAAGTGAGGTCTAATTAGTGATTTGTATGCAAAAATTAAGTAATAATTATGATTGTATTGAAAAGTTTATTTTAATCTGCACACTTTACTAATTTATTATTACCCTATCACTCTAATTAATGTAAATAAGGAAAAGAAAAGGTACAAGTGCTCTACTAGATCCAATATGATTAGACTACTACATTAATAATTTTTTTCTTTCATTCAACCAACCTACAATCCAATTTGCTAATTTCCCCAACCCTCACCAACGTGATTTTCTCAACTAATCTTTTGTGTGGCAACTTGCCTTTTGGCATCTTTAGAAAATCTAAACACACAAAGTCTATACTCTTTCCGTCATCCAAATAACTCATACTGACACAGCATCCTCCAAAAAATTAACAAATAGGGGAAGATTTTTCTATAATGAATCCATGCTTATTTTCTATTATGCTATCATGTTTCATTAGATAGTTTTACAAAGCTTCTTTCATTAGATTCTCTAACTTTTCCCCACTACTGGTTTATAAATACTAAATAGTATAAATCCCAGAGCGCAACTCTGAATTTCCTCTGGGACTAACAGTAGCAATTCCCCAATCCTGAGCAGGCACCTGTCTACTAACCATATATCTGATCTTTGATCTCCTTTAAATTTTTTTGGGTTAACATAGTTGTTTTTTGTTTATTTTTTTAATGTGGCAGGGATTTAGCTTTTAAAGGAAATTCACAGAATTTTTTCCAACTGAATCGCTTATCACATACATTTCTTAAACTTAAAATAATTTGAAACTTTGATAAAATATACGGGAGTCTAGAATTTGGACAAAGACTAAAGTGAAGTCAAGCAGATGAAGATGACGAGTTGACACAAGTAACAAGGTGAATGCCAAAGTTAAAAACTTTATGGACGACAAGTTTCAACAAACAACCAAAGGCTCATTGATAGGGTCATGGAGAGACGGAGATCTATATATCCAATGCCATAGGATTAAAAGTGGGAAGGAAACGGAAGAACCCGAGAAAACCTACTTACACAAAACAGGCGCTTAGTGTAAACACAAATTTCCATTTTCTAGTTCCTATGCCTTATCTATTTCTAATCTCTCAATCTTTCTTTTTACCATCAAAGAATTCAAACAACTAAAACGTGATATCAACAAATGAATGTTAATATCAAACGAAAACTTCTTTTTTCACCGTTTTAAACATTAAATTTTTGAGATAAAAAGAAATATTTTATACGTTACGTATATTATTTTGTGAGTATGATAAAATATACTGATATATTAAGCAATTTAATGAATAATTCCATACCACACGTCGTTGCAGGTTTTTCTTTTTGTTCAAAGCGGTTTCGCGGGGATTTTATTTTTTACGCTTGAGATAAGCCTTCATTATTTTTATTGTCTGTAATGATAAATCCTGTTTCTTCATAAATGTCAAGGTAAGTAATAATTGTATTAGATTACTTTTCTTTTGCATTGATGTTTTATTAAGCAGCTTTAGGCTGATTGGACGTTTATATAATTCAAAACATAGGCCTTTAACTTTAACATTTAAGCTTAAACCAGCGGTCCTGTATTTTTCTTTTCAATTTCATTAACCTGTTCTAAGTTCTACTGAATTCTGGTCTACATACGTCTTGAACTTGAAATTGAAAAAGTTTTGCATTCAATTTTTAAATTTTAATCAGTTCTGCTATTCCGAGTATTCGTATTATTAAACTATACAATGATACATAACTCTCGTGAATACAGAATAGTTAATAGAATAATAATATTCTGTTTCTAAGCTTTTCAGTTTCAGAATTTTTTAAAGTTTTTGGTTTTAACGTCGTAAAAACTAAAATATCAAGTCATGTTTTGTTAATTAATGTACATTATAACTTAAATTAGTAAGTACTGAGTACTACTACTACTACTACTACTAGATATTAGATTAAAACTTGAAAGGTAGAATTATTTGAGTTGAAACTGTGTAAACTGACCAGATTGTTGACCATTGGTAAAGACTAAAGCCTAAACTAGGCTAAAGTAAGTAAAAGTGATTTGTATACAGACAACTTAATTATGCTGCCTTTAAAAACAGTTTAATTTTTGTAAAATTTCAGAAGACGAATACTATATTATTATTAGCAAAGAGATTTAATCAGTCTGTTTTTGCTTGAGGCTGAAGAATGTTTAAAATTGTAGTACTACTTGTACTCAGTTGTAGGGAATTTTTTCCTCGCGTAGCACCCAGATATTTTATTTGTACTTTGTACTGAGGAAGATATTTATTAATTTTATGTATGCCATGTTTATATATTGAAAACTTTATCATTTATGAAAAGAGTAATTGATTTATTGAATACTAAATATTACTATTAGCTTTATTACTACTACTAACATTCATAATAGCATTATGTCTAGCACACAATTCACGTTCTAGTCTAGGTCTGCTTTAAAAATCAAAGTTGTATTAGTTTTGAAGTTATCTTGATGAGGTAAATGACAAAGTTTATAAAATTAAAACTAAAAGCGAGTCTACTTCTTGAGGCTTGGGTGACTAGGTATACCTGTAATTAAAAGAATAAAATTAGTCACCATTATAAGTTCATAAAATTTTAAAGGGACAAAAAGGAGCTTATAAGCCCTTCAAGAATGACCCTTCCAACTCCAAACTATACCCACCCCTTACTACTCATATTTTCATCCAATCTTTTCTTGAACTCGGTTAAATTTTCTGCTTCCACAACCCTTGAAGGCAGCTTATTCTAAAAGCCAACCACCCTGTTTGAAAGTAATATTGTTTAAACTGCAGATGATTCATTCGCTGTCCAAATTTGAACCCTTGTCCTATTGTTTTCACTGCTAAACAAAAAAAGTTTGATGGATCTATATTATCAATACCCTTAATATTAAAAACCTCAATAAAATCCCCTCTGAACCTTCTCCTCTCCAGAGAAAACAAGTTTAGAGATATTAGTCTCCTCATAGGACAATCCCACCATCCCAACTATCATCTTAGTGGCTCTTCTCTGAATCTTCTTCAACAATTCAATGTCCTTCTTGAAGAAGGGAGCCCAAAACTTGACACAATACTCTAATTTCTAAATGAGGCCTTATAAGTTATCTATACAGTGAAACAATAATATCCTTTGTCTTGTATTCAATGTTTCTATAGATGCTACCCAAAATCTTATTGCTATGTTACGACAGCAGAAGTCACGTGACGCTAGTAACACGTCATGAACTTCTAGAACGTTCACGTCCCTTCCTGAAGTCTCGAGAGGCTACTAGATATGCGGTAGTATTGTATATATAAGCCGCCAAGAATTGACGGCAACAATGGTAATTGAACTGCGGACAGAGAGAGACGTATTGTTGAGTCGAGCACGTGAGATGTTCGTTGTGAATTATAGCATTTGTTATAGTGCAACTGTGGAAATTAAGTGTATTGCAAAGTTGTATTCAGAAAGAATAAACCAGTTTTATTTAAGAAAGGACTTGTATCGCTAAAGTTTCTTCGGAAAGAATTTTTACGGAAAATTAACTAACGACCAGAGACGTAACAGCTAGTTACAATAGATGACTTTAGTGATTTTTCGATCACAACACCAAGATCTTTTTCTTCAACCACAATATTTAAATTGTAACAATAATTTGAATTGTGAAAACCTACATGCATCACCTTACATTCTGGATAGTTAAACATCATCTGCCACATATTGGCCCAATGCATCAAATGATCTAAATATCCCTGTAAGTCTGCAGCATCTTTGATATAGTTAGCCACCCCAAAAATCTTAATGTCATATGCAAACTTCAAAATGTTGTTAGTCATTCCAGAGTCAATATCATTAATATAAATCACAAACAGCAGAGGACCCAGCACAGAGCCCTGAGGCACACCGCTTGTATCTATGATCCAGTCAGATCTAACTACATTTATTATTACTCTACTTTCTAGTCTCCAGGCAATTTTCTATCCAATTTAATAGCATTTCTCCCACACCCACATATTTAATTTTTGTAAGAAGTATTTGAAAATCAAGGTAAACTAGATCCACAGTATTTCCTTCGTCAACTTTTGGTGGCTGCTACCACCAGGGTTGAACAACAACAAAAAAAAGACAAATTTATTAAGACAAGCACAGATATCTGAAATGAAAGTTTCAAACAATTGGAATATAAAGTTTCTTGATTATCAGAAACACTGTTCATAAATACTTGCCTGGCCCAGAACATGATACAAACACTGATGAACAATACGGCATAAATATCAAGGTTAATACCTATTTCAATGAATAAAGGAATTGAGAAAAAAGAACCAGAAGAACAAAAACCTAATTTGAAAATAACTATTCCGTATTTAAACAACTACAAGATCAACAACAGTATTGAGTAATAATCAGCAATAATGCTTTTGCTGTATCTTGTGAACTCGCTTGGAGACCATGGCAGGGCTTTTATTAAGTTGTAAGACCACTGGATTACATCTCATGTGACTAGCTAGCTTAGTACCTTAAATTTACATAATCCTTCAAAACATTAATAATATCTGCAAGTCACTGCTAGGGGAATCTGATGTCAGTTTTGGAATACATAATACTTATGCAGGATCAATGTGATCAACTAGAAGTGAATTAGCACTTTAATATAACTAAAGTTTCTTAGATAAACTAAATAATAGAATGAATAATAAATGAACAGAAAACAAACCCATTAAAAAATAAAAATATAATTTGTTATCTCACACTCCTTCCCCTTAGAAAAACAAAGTGATGACATTAATCAGTTTGTATGAACTATCCTGATTTTTATATCTTTACTGACAGTTTAAAAACAAATACTCTACAAGGAAAAACTATTCATATTTTTGAATCTTCAATTTGATCCTCTATCGCTTTCAGTTCTCGATTGTCTTACTGGAAGTTTATTAAGAATTTGAAGATCAGCTAAACTGTGGTAATTAATTCTGTGGTAAGGTCACAATGTCTTATGAGTAAGTTGAGCGGGAGACTTAGATAAGTATAGGCAGGATCCATTGAAGGATGAGAAGTGGACACGCAGGCAGAAGTCCTTTGTTTTGTGGGGATATGATAGCCTAGACTCTGTAGTTGACATTCTCATTTTGCCACAACTGCCTAGGACAGTTACCATCCTCTCTGGCATTTAGAGAATTTTCACTGGGGAAATATATGTATCTCTATACAATTCTCACTTGCACCCAGATGTTCCCCAGTATCTATCCTATCAACTATTTCTACGTTAGAACGTTAAAAATAGATCTAAAATAGCATTGTAGCTAGTAGGTTCCCTGAAGAAAAACATCCTCAATGGTTTCTTAAAAACCTTCCCTTTTCATGATTTGCCTTCCAGTGGCTCAGTGGTAAGTCTGAAGGCTTATAATGCTAAAAACTGAATTTCAGCACTCGTAGTAGTCATAGCACAGAAAGCCCTTGTGTGGCTTTGTCCTTAACAATAAACAAACTAACAAAATCTTTGTGCTTTGATCCTAAAATTTTGTAATCTGTATGCTTGAAATTAAAATCTCCATATTGGGGTATTTTATCATATTATTTTTGATATTAGTAATAACCTAAAATAACTGGCACGTGGTGTACAATACTGAGTGATAAATAATGCTGTTGAATTAGTAAGGTACTTACGAACTCATTTTGATCATGATCAAATGCAACATCTACTACAGGGTTCCATATCTTGTTATTAGTGCTTTGGCTTTTTCTTATTTACATTAATGACATTGATAGGGGCATAATTTAATAGTTTGTGATGACATTAAACTATCGGATATTTCTAGCTGTATTGATGATGTTGGGATACTACAGAATGACTTGAATCAATTGATGAGTTGGACAAATATTTTGCAAAAGACGATTATAGTAAGTGCAAGATAATGCATTTGGAATATGTAACATGGATCATATGTTTTATATAGATGAAAACCCACATAATAGCACAACTGATAAAATTTCTTCGGTACATGGATAGATAAATCACTTTAACCATCAAGGCAGTGTTTTGCTGCTAGTATTCAATCTAGTGGACTTTTAAAATGTGCTTTTAGACATGAATTACAAGTCAAAAGTTGAAATTATCTGTATACAAATCACTAGTTAGGCATCATTTGGAATTCTGTGTACAGGTTTAGTCTTATTACTAATTTATTGGATTTAGTGAGTGGCTGTGCTACTAGGATGACTGGGTGTATGTTAAGATCTCAACTACTTTACTCATGAAAAAATAAATTTAGAGTTATCTGAACAAGATAATTTACCCTATACATACATGTAAAGCTGAAAAATATATTTGGTATATATGGAAAGTCTTGTGTTATAATAGTATAACTGTATAGAATTTTTTGTATGATATGTGTGACAGTTAGGTACTGCCTGGTATGTACTTCAAGTAAAAAGAATGTATAACAGCATTTTGACCACATTTTTCTGTTCTACACTGCTCAATCAACCAAATAACTACTGCTTATATCATAATTACTGTCCAAAACTCTTCACACATTAACAAACACTAAAAATTTCACTAATATACACCAGATCTCTGTGCACAATACCAATGTAAGATGTTGACTTTCTTCTTAATGAAGACTGAAATGGTGAATTAATTTGTTTAGTAGTTTGAATTTCACCATGTTGTTAGCTAAATTTAATAATTATACAGTCATGTTGTAAATTTTTTCTCTCTTCATTTGGATGAAATGTTTATAATGTAAAGAACAAAAACTACATTAAGAGATTTGCTAATCAGGAATAAAAAAATAATGGGAATACAGCTTTATCATTTTTTAAGTTTACAGTGTATATAAAAATACTGAATGCAAATTATATTTTTGTTTGTGGTGTATTTAAATGTAGGTCCAGAGAATCTCAAGTTGTAAAAATGTTTATGCTGAAATTTCATGTTTAGAAATTATTTGCTTATGTTTTCTTTGACTTATTTTTACTTCTGAGTATCAAAACTTCTTAAACTTAGGTTTCAAAGTTGTATATCTGCACCAGTTGTCCTATACATATTGTCCTTAGCAATGTCAACTCATCATTAAGGAATATTCATGCTGCAAAATTTGTGTTTAAAATATTTAATTTCCTATTCCTTTTTCAGAACAAGAGTAGCTTAAAGCATACAATCATCTTGTTTGTTACTGACAGAATCAATGGCTGAACGACCTGAAGACTTCAACCTTCCAAACAGTGTGATAACAAGAATTGTGAAAGATGCTGTAAGTAGAGAAGCTCAGAAACAAACTATTATGCTACGGTACACATAAGGAATTGTTAAAAATAACTAATAATTAGTAAATGTCACTAGATCTGATCACAAAAGCAGTTGTTATACATAAGAAATACATACATGAAAATTTAATATACATTTTTAGTGTTATATTCATGGATTAATACTAAACTTGAGCAAATTTGTATTATAAATTTTGGATTTTCATCATCACATGTAAAAATGAATTTGGACAAAATTATTCTTTTTGCATTCATTGAAAATGGTTATTTGCATTGTATATAGGGCAAAATCCAAAAATTTGAGATAGATTGAAGTTTTCAAAAAAAAATTGGTAGTGTATCCTGAACAGGCTGTGTGACCATACTAGTGCTTATAAAAAAACAAAACAAAAAAAAACAGATTGGTATTGTATTTAATTGAAAAAATTACTGTTTTGAAGCAATGAGTAAATAGTAGGGAAGCCCGTGTACCCAGTCAGATAATCGGCTCTGGCTGGGTATTGGGCTACCTGGTAATACTCGGCTTCGGCCAAGTGTCAAAGCTAGTCATCTAAACCCTAATCTTTGTGGCAACTAACGCAGTACTGAAAGTTACAGTCAGTAATTGGTTTAGTTAAAAAGAAATATATGTTCTGAGCAACAAAAACTGACTGCCCACTGAAAGTTAATTTGGACACAATAACTGTGCATTTATAAACTGTCAAATGACTCATAAGGACAATATATTTTTTGGCTATGCTATTTACTAGGGATGCACGGGTAGTAAAATTTGGCTGAATAACGGGTCCGGGTCACTAAGCTTCGGCCAGGGCCGGATGTCGACCAGGACCGGGTTGTCACCTTGCCCCCCCAAAACAATACACACAAAAATTTGAAACAAAAACAAAATTGACATTTATTATATTTAACCAAATAATCACCAATAGAACATTCAAGTTTTACTTTCAAATTTCAGTGTCTAGCCCCAACTTCTCAAACCCTAAACCCTATTGTTCTCAAAATCCCCACCTTCCCTAGAAATCCACTTCTCAAGCCATGCTTGTTATTAACCCCTATTGTTCTCTGAATCCCCTCTTCCACAAAATACAATATTCTTTTAAACAAAGAATGGACAAAAAGATATTTTTGTGGGGGTCCAAATAAGTTTGTAGTTAGGGAATTTACAGATGATTTTAGTCGAGGATCGGAGTCAACATTACATATGTAGTGAGGGCATGGATAAGTGTACAGTAGACTGCAGTGCTGTTTTAAATAAGGGTCTGTTGAGGATGCTAGTCATTCATTGGACAACATGGAAGTTTCAGTTGGTCTTCCGAGGAAGTTTTTAGTTGTTTTGAATGACTGTTAAAATTGAGCCCTGTATAATCCTTTATGAATAGTCTGACCATTATAGAGAAAGAATGTACAGACAGCCACACTGAATTAGCTTTTATACAAACAATTATGTAGTTTCATTACATCACAGAGATATCCATATGTTACAAACAACCTTGAGAATTAGGCTTAAAATTTGTGATAACAATAAACTACAGAAGCTTTTATTTTCCTCTTCTAAGCATTTGATTTAGCCAGCAAAATAGTCTTGTTTTGTCTCAGCATGGATGGCTAAATCTTTAGCATCCTTACTTAGTTTCTTGATTGTATTCATCACCCAGAGCCGGATTAAAGCATAAGCTAACTAAGCTATAATTAAGGGCCTTACAATATAAGAGGGCCTCTTAGCCACCTCTAAAAAAGAAAAAGTGGATCAGTGTTTCAACTGTGAAGATTAATGATAAAAATTCTGAGTTTGATTTTGTAAATTTGATTGTTGTAGTTCCTACCAAAGGTTTATCGGTAAGAAGTTAAGACAGCCATGTTAGTTTTATTGTCACAAGCATCTATACTAGAAATTGATCTCACTAAATCTTTGTGTTATAGATGTAAGCTTTTGTTGTGAATTTCCATCTTCCCATATATTTGCATACAAACATCATGCAATACAATGTGTAGTAATGTAACTAACTGAGCTGTATATACTGTACTGTGTTACCATACACAGCCATTCACACTCAACTGAACTCCAAACAAGATTTACGTGCATAAAGCAATACACAGGTGCAGCTTGTTCAGGATAGAAAGTTCAGTGACTAAACAGCATTATTAGCCAATCACAAAAGCGAACTTTTCCTAACATTTTCAGCCTCCTTTGGTGGATTGTACCAACATTTTAGATGGAAGGTTGTGGAAAAGAACAAGGAATTCAGAAAACTGTATCTAAAAGCAGAAAATCTGAAGAGAGAAATGAATGCATTGAAACTTAACTTCTATTGTTTTTGTAATTAACTTTTTTAAAATTGAAATTAACTTTTAATTTGCATTAACTTTTTTATTACTTAATATAAGAACTGTATATTCAGAAAGATAGTATGTTACAACATGTAATGTTTAGGGATAAGTGGGAGGATTGGACAGCTGAAGGGGTGGTATGGAGGCTGTGAAACAGTATTTGCTTGTTACTTTTATTAAAACATTTGAAAGTTTTGGTCATGAAATTTAATATTAGGTCATGGTTAAAGTCCTGGAATTTATTTTGCAGTATTCTGATTCTCTATGAACCCTGTTTCGCTGATGGGGGCCAAGATTAGGGTTGCAACTTGGCTCTATAATTCTGGAATACTGAGACATGACATATCTGCCACCAAACTGAAATTATTGAGTAGGTAAAGGATCATAGTCCAAAGGTACTCATAGCAACAACTGAGGCAGCATGTTTAAGCATATAGCATTGACAATAATATGGTAATTGCACTTTTCTTCAGGCACTGTGATCTGCAACACCTTTTCAGAAGGGTGGGCAAAGCTTCGGGCTGCCTACATACTCAGTGTCTATGGTTATAGATACAACACTTAAAAGTTCCAACGTTGTTGTGAACATAGTTATGGACTTAAAAGTTTGGAGATGGCCTGAATGGGTGATGAAGAAAGCTGCTATAAATGTACAATGTTTTGACAAGATTATATCATAATGATGATGAAATAATCTTGTTGAAATGTTGTACATTTGTAATAGTTTTATTCTTTATCCATTCAAGCTATCTCCAAACTTTTATTTTCTAAAAAGTGGTTTCCTCGTCATCAAATTTAAATACTTAAGAACATGTAAAACAATACTGAATACCTGGAATAAAACTTCTAGAAAAGTATACTCAGTATTGCTGAAACAGGTGAATGAAAAACAAAGAAATCTTTCATTGTTTCTAGCTATTCAACAGTGATGTATAGATCTGAGATCTAGAACCCTGTATACCACTACATGTGTGTAGTGTTTGGATGTTAGGGATTAAGACACTGTGGTTGGGGCATTACTGTTTGCATATTAACATACCTGACAGAATGTTACTATTTTGATAAAGTATGTAAAAAGGTAGGTGGTATGATTGAAAATGCAATTTTTAATAAAGCACCTGTTTAAAAAATGAACAGATTTTTTTAAAGGCTATATGATCTCTTTGTGTTATAACTTTTTCTGCTTTTGTGTACTTCCTCACAGAATATTTATTATCTAAAAATAATAATTATCTGTCTGATTTACATTTTGTTTAAACTCCCTTAGAATGTGTGCTGTTGACATTCATATCACATGTTAATTAACAAAAATAAACCATGAAATAATTAATGATATTTCAAAGTATTATTCTACCACTTATTCCATTGATATCCAGAACTGAATGTGTAAATACATTTACTAACATGACATGGAATGCTTTATCCTCATGATTGGAATAATAATAAAAATGCCATATCAGTTTGAATCAGGAAGATTTACTATTAGCAATCTATATACGGACCCCCCTTTTAATCATGTAAGTAAAGTAAAGAAAATGCTGTTTTAATATCTTGAAACCTATCTATTGTTTATGAAACATGATCATGGCATGTATTTGCACTTTCTATGTGGAAAAAGTAACTAAGACATGTGAATATACAATTAGATATATAAACATGATTACCAAGTATTGTGGAATTAATAGCCATATGGCTGTAATGAGTCAGTACTAGTAACAATATTTATAATAAGTATCACTGAAGTTTTATCCTATTAATAAACATTTTGTACACATACAGTAGTTATTTAGTGAGTGCATGTAAGAGTTATAAAGTCATCAAACCCTCTCTCAATTTTCTATTTGTAGTGAAACTCTACAGTAGAGAGCACAATTTTTTGTTTTTTAATCTATTTAATACAAATAATGTGTTTTCAAGTGGTTGATTTGGCATTAAAAAATATGTTCTGTGTATTATTTGGTAGGCTGTCATATTATGAATTTTAGGATGTAGTTATGAAGTAACTAATTTGAGGAACTTCTCTATTTTAGCTACCAGAGGGTGTAAACGTTTCTAAGGAGGCAAAGTCTGCCCTTTCAAAAGCTGCTAGTGTTTTTGTATTGTATGCAACAACATGGTGAGTAAAATATCTTCTTGATTTTTTGCAATAGAAGAAAACCCATCTGAAATCAAGGTCAAGAGATTGAAATTTCTAAAACATAATCAGCTTAGCTAACCTGTTCAGATTTGTGAAACCAGGAAAACAGCCCAAATATGATTGTGTTTTTGCTCGTAGAATACTTCCGTAAAGGCAAAATTAACAAATATTGCTGTATTTGTGTTTTATGATATCTTTTTCATGCATAAGAAATATAAACACTTTATTACAAGTAGCTTTAAATCCTTTTAAGAAGTTTTCAAGAGTACTGTTATATTCCAAAATAAATGTTGTTGTTTTTTAAATTCTCCTTGCATCAATTTACTTGTTCAAGTTCTGAACTTTGATGTCTGTTTTTCAGCTAACTGGCATATAATATAGGACATGTTTTCATTGGCATTGATTTATGTTATGAAATATACCCTAAAGAACTTTCTCACGACGAATTAAGTGAGTTAAAAATATTTGACAACTTTTAGACCTTCATGTAGTTTTAAGATCTTATTTCAAAATTAAATATCATGGGACTATTAAAGGAAACAGTTTTTCACACCAAATGGTATCTTCTGAAATAATGTTTGCACATAAGAGTATCTTCTATCTAGTGTCACATGTTTGCAAATGTTATGCATCTGTGTTCAGTTGAAAAATGTGTTAATCTTTTGTTGCTGCACTGTTAATGCTGTTGCAGTTTTCCTGTAAATCTGAAAAACAACAACAACACCATTTAAATACTTTAACAAAATATGTGCACTTCAGGTATCTTTTAAAATATCATTCAATTCACCCATACCTTTTCAAAACAGAAACTATCTGTGTGTTAGATACTAAGTTGGTGTGTCGTAAATATTTTTTCTTTCAAATGAAGGAAGAACAGTTAAATCACAGATACATCTTTATTGACGATCATCACCTTTCAATGGTTGCATTGTTAAAAACCAAAATGTACTGATGTGACCAAGTCTTTCAATCAGAAATGGAGATATTGATAATTTCCATACTTTATTTAACTCAATAATTAATAATCTTGATAGGAAATGTGATCTCAGTTGTTATCAACTTTGAATATGATACATGAACAATTATAATTAGTTCTAGTAAAAACAAAAAGTTAATTTTTTAATTTTCTTTTAGTTTAGTTAACTTGTAATGTTTTTGTTTTACTAAGTCCAATGTATTTGAATTTGCTACAATAACAAATATTAGTTTGAACACTGGTTATTGCATGTTTTAATAGTTTGTTTTTATCAGAAGTGTGTGTGTGTGTGTGTTTGTTATCTTGACTATTTTATGTATATACATGTGTGTGTGTGTATGTGTATATAAATAAATAAATAAATACCTTACAAACTGTTGATTACATTAATTGTTTATAGGTGATTAAATTAGCACTATAAAACAATAATGAATTACATGTTGCAATACCATTATCAGTCCTGGTTGTCAACATATTGTCATAACAAATACTGTCTGTGGTAATAGCACCCAAATGCATTGGAGATATCCCATCTATCAGACAATATCCAAATGCCAGTAATGGTATTGCGATATATGTAATATGGATATAATCAGGATATACAACTTAGCTAAAGGCGACTGAAGTTTTGTATATCACTAGAGTATAGTTTTTAATATCTTTGGTTTGATATTCTTCAATGGTAGTTCTCAAGTGGAACTTGTTAAATACAACTATTAGTGGTATGTATATAGCTTACTTTCTACATTAGTGTTTATGTCTTGTTCTGTACATTATTGTTAGTTTTTTATATCTTGTTTCCCACATTAGTTTTAAGTTATTGGAGTTAAGAAAGAGAAATGTATAATGTTTCTAAAGTGATACAGTATACATGTATCTGCTTGACATATTACATCTAATTAGTAATATTGCTGTAAAAATCTTTTTTTTTGTGTAAGTCATAACTTTTCCTTTACTCTTAGCCTGTAAAACAAACTGTTTGTCTTATCAAATCCTTATTTGGTTTATAAAGCTGTTAAGTATGTGAATCATTATTATTTTATTTTTAGTTTCTATATGCATTATCAGTTGGATAGCTCCAAGCCTGTAAATAATAAGATGAAGTGACCATTCCATTATAAGTGGCTTTTTTTTTGTGCCATGGTTTTGTTACAGTGCCAACAACTTCACTCTTAAAGACAAAAGGAAAACACTCTCAGGAAATGATGTCTTGGCTGCAGTACAAGATATGGAATTTGACATGCTTTTGGAGCCCCTACAAGAAAGCTTAAATGGTAAACAATGTTTTATCAAAAATTGAGATAGTAGGACATTTAAATATCAAAAATTGAAAGGTAAAGACGGTATGTCTGAAATCATGCTGGTTATATATTTCTTAACAGACAAAACTTTAATCATAACTGACAATGAGTGAATAATAATTAATATTCAACCAATAGCCTACCAGAAGAACCTTGTAGTTTTTCTTTCTGTTTCCATGAAGTGCAAATTCTGTACATAAATTATTAAAACTAATGAAATTTGTGAACAAAATTTAGGTTATTCTAGGGTAGGATCATGAATTTATCAGCATGTTAAGCTTGATTTTTCAATTTGTATTACATGTAATGCATGCTACTATTAATTGCTAGTTTTTCGATAAGGAGTTATCAGTGTTTTATTTACTTGGGAAATATTCTGAGTTCAGGGACTCCTCAAGTCAATGTTTTGAGGTCAGTGTATGTTTTTTATTATTATCAGACACAGTGTTTTAGATTACATTTTTAGGAAGTAATTTGCATTGTAAGATGAAATACTAAAGCACACAACTTTCTTTTCCAATGGACATGTGTCATATATTGGTGAGTGAAAAAGCCTGCTATTTATCACGGTGTTAATGGGAATTTGTTAAATTACATTGAATCACTGCTAAGTTTACATTTAATTCTGTTTGTTTGTTTTTTCCTTGACTATTTCCTCAGTATAATCTATTTCACACCTTTTTTGTACAGAAGTAAATATCACAGGTTACATCATGGTGAATTTGCTATTTGTCCCTCTGAAAGCACTCTTCTGTTGGATGTTAAATATTGTAATTATGACAACTCAACTTGTATCTGATTAAACATTGTCTGTTTGCAGAATTGAACAGCCTTTTGATATTGCCAGCTCCAGTGTTATAATTTTGACATGTTTCTTCTTGTTAGAGCATCATCCATGCATTAAGAGTGATCTATGTGAGTAACATATGCTGTGTTTTGATAACCTGAAACATAGTACTGAAATAGTCATTGAATGGCAACCAACTAAGATTTTCCAAAGTGCAAGAAGACGATAACATGTTACACATATTTCAACATTTTCAGACACCACAACATTATATACAATTCAGTTATTATGATGTATGACCAATTAGTGTAGGCAGTGGTTATACTTATATCACTTTAATGCAGTTTCAGTGACTATATTTCAATGATAAATGTATGTTAACTTTTATGGTTAATTTAGTATATTTTTTGGTAGTTAAAAAACTAAACAAATTATCCACATGGCTAATAGCTTTTAGAGCCTAGAAGTAATGCAGAAATGCTTCTTATTTTATGATAACAGTATCTGGTTACATTATGAAAAGAAAATATAAATTTAACCTTTCTCCTTAACTGTCCCTGTTCAAGTTAAAGCTCGACATAATTTACTTTTGCTTGAGTGTGATTTGTAACATTTCATTATTACAGAGTCATTGTTTTAGAAATGCTACAGAACATATTATTAAACTTTTCACTCTGTATAATAGATATAATGAAAGCTTAGGCAAGAGGTCCAAACACATCTTTAATACAAAGTTAGGGATAATTGATCTAGTTAGAATATAAACATTGAGGTTTGTCTCATAATTTTCCATAGTAAATAACACTCAAATGTATAAACAGATTATGAATATATGTGAAAGGGGCAAACTTTTTAATTTTTCTTTTTAAATGGCAACTTTCAGCAATACTGGGTGGATTTCTAAGATAACTCTGTTTTACCTTTAGTGAAAAAGAAAAGGAATCTGTAGTGTACATACATATAAAATCATTAATTAGTTCAGTAATGTTTATCTTTACGTATTAAATTGAAAAACTATTCTTTATACTGTGAAATAGAAAGCCTGTTTTTATTGTCATATGAACACTTAAGTGTAGTTATTAATAAGTTACTAACTTTCATTTTTCTAAATTACTAGATACTAATTACTAACTAGTTTTATCCCACATTTCAGTTGCTAGTCTGTTCCATTTTCAAGAAAGTCCTGAGAAGGTTTATGTTTGATGGTGGTAGTGTTTGATAGTTTGTCTATCAAGAAAATCTAAGGTTGAATCCCAGTCATTACCACATACCACACAAATTGCCCTTCCTTGGGACTTCCCTGAAGATGGCAGCAGATTAGCAACCAAAATGTAAGATTAGAACTAGTCAACAGTCAGTAGATAATAATTAGAAAATAAATTAGTAACTAATTATTGGTTAGATGGTTCTATAGGTTATTCACTGTCACCGCAATTGATACCCAATCCCCAAAACTTATGGTAAGTACTTAAAATATGTTTTGTATAATATTAGGTGGTCAAGAAATTAATGTTGCTTTTTTTTTAGATGAAAACACCCAAACAACTTATATATCAAAACAAAACATTTATTAAATGAAATAGTCTCCATTTTTATCAATGCAAAAATCATGTCGATATCCTCTTTAACACCTTCCACATTTGCATATGTTTTCCTATTAGATGATGTTGCAGCAAACAAAAAAGATGGTAATCTGATGGTGCCATATCTGGAGAATATGGTGGGTGGGGAAGAATTTCCCAACCCAACTCCATAATCTTGTGTTGTTTCAAACGTGCCACATGTGGACGTGCATTGTCGTGGAGAAGAAGAACACCTTTTTGATTGATGAGTGAAGGGTGTTTCTGATGAAGGGTTTGATTTAAACGTTCCACTTGCTGGCTATAGATCTCTGCATTGACAGTTTGCTGTGGATTGAGGAGTTCAAAATCAATGACTCCTTTGATGTCCCATTAAATGCAAACCTTCACTTTCTGCGAATAGATTCCAGGTTTTGGGGTTGGAAGTGTTTTTTTGTCTAGGACTGAGCCCTTGTTTTTGGTGTTTAATATTCGGATAGACAATCCATTTTTCATTACTGGTGAAAATTCTATCCAAAAATGGTTCACGTGCATTACGCATCATATGAAGCAAAGTAACATTTAAACGTTGGAAGCGATGATCATCGGAGGATTCATGAGGTACCCAAACACCTTTTTTATGGCGTTTTCCCATATTCTTTAGATGTTTACGTATTGTTTCATGAGAGA